CGAGTGCCTCTGCCGGACCCCCCCCCCACAGAGCAGGGAAGCCCACGCATGCAACCCCTCAGGGCCGACACACACACCCACACACACACGGAGCAGGGAAGCCTCCGTTGCGCGCCCCCTCCGGGCCTGACTCCCCACTCCGGCAGAGAAGGGAAGTCCCCGCTCGTGCCTCAGGGGACTTACCCAGTAAGTTCCCGGAACGCCAGGAAGCTGGGGCAAGGAAGCAGCAAACGCATTTCCGGAACCCCCGGAAGTGACGCGCAGCTGTAGGACTTCTGTCCACCCCACGGGAAGCTGCCACTACCTCCATTGTTGCTCGAGGTACGTAGTGGGGCTTCTTGGGGGTGGGAGGAAATGGCAGGCCCAGAACGCCTCACGATCGACTGGTCGAGGCCTTAGGATCGACCAGTCGATCGCGATCGACTGGTTGGTGACCACGACCTTACGGGGACTTCAACCCACAGGTTGAAATTGTATCTGCAAAGTTTATATTAAAATGGGAGATAATGGAGTAAATATAAAATTGGAGATAATAGGGTATCGCTCCTACTCCTTATGTTAATGGATTCAGTACACTTACCACCCACCCATACTCTTGTGATACAATTACTATAAAGATCCCTAATATCTATAAATCACTTATTAATCCGAAACCTCTTAAGGTCCACCATAACATATGTCCATGCTCTACTGTGTCAAATGCTTTGGCCAAATCTACAAAAACGATAGCTAACTCCTATCCATTTTGTTTAGCCCCCTTAACTAAATTGTCAAACTACTATATTTTCCTTTCAACCCAGAGCCCAAATAAAACCTTTTTGTCTACTACAAATCCTAACTGCAGACATCAATCTTTTCACAAAATTTGTTGTATATAGCCTCACCCAAACAAAAAAAAATTGTTAATAGCCCGCAGAGGATAATTTAGCCAATTTCTCCTCCTCCTGTACCTTTGGGGTTAAAATAATCCTAGTCTCTTTAAATGAGGAGTACAGGAGCTGCCGAAAAAGGTCCCCACTGTCAGCAGACCCGTGGCTACACTTTACTTTCACTTTCGACACTGAGCCTGATCGGCACAGTGTCTGAACATGAGTATGCAAATGAAGCCCAGGATATTTAAATCCCGGGCTCATTTGCACTTCCGAAGTGCTTGATTTGCATCCCTCTCTCGGCAGAGGGATGCAGTCTAGACGTATCCCTAGTCTTGTCTGACTATCCCATAATAATACGTGATGTCTCTTATCCTTTCCACAGAATTGCGGATTAAATTAATATCAAGCTTTCTGAGTAGCAAACCGTTGACACCGAAGATTGCTTCTTACTACTCATTTTCCTAACTTTGCACACCTATTCTCTATTTCCTGATCTTCACTCTTCCTACCTACCTCAGCTTCTACCACTGTACAACAAACTTTCTCCATCATTGCTCATCCACCTGAAGATATATGCATATCTTTCACTATCACATCAATCTCATCCAAACGACTTAAAATTTGCCCAGCTCTTTTATTATGCTTATTTTCGCTACCTAACACTCATCAATAAATGGATTTTTTTAATGGTTTAATATTCTTCCTATGAGGGGAAATCTCTAAAATACACTCTGCACCTATTGCCTCATCTCCCAATTAATCAACATCCTCTTTCCTAATCTTCTTCCTAGCCAATTTGCGTCCCTTACTTGCAATTTGTTTATTGGCCTTTGTCCTTGACTCACTTTAATTTATTTATATGCCTTTCCCCTGCATATTCATCTTCTAATTGAATAAGCAAATCAACTTACTGCTCTGTCCAAATGCAAGTCCTACTAGACTCTTTATTCCCTACCCTAAACCTCTGATCTTCCTTTCTCTGTTCATTTCGAGAACAGGGTGTCTATGTCTGGTATGTTGACTCAATCCTGATTTTGTATTGGAAAACTAACCCACAGATCAAAGAGGCAAAGCCAATTTTGAAAGCAACTACCTCCTTGGTCTCACACTTGGGGTAGTGGCAAGCTATGTTATGGAATTAAGAAAATTTACCACACTTTTTACAAACCACCATTATAGTCTTACTCTTATGGACCATGTTTATACGCTTTGTCCACTTTCCAAATGAAGCTAAAATTTGTGGGACAATGGGACAATTAAAACCTTCAAGAGGATATTAAAATATTAAACAGAAAAGACCATCTTTCAATGAACCACTCAGTTAAATTTGTAAAATTAACCCTATTATTAAAAACAGTGATAAATTAGTGTTAAAATGTCCCCTTACACTAAAATATGGGTCCTCCGAGGTGTCTAAATACTTAAAGGTTGGATTGCAATAATCTATTCTTAAATTACCAGAAGTGTTATTGGTAAAAACATTTTATATCATTCACTTGGTCCTCACATAACACTTGACATTCCTCAACTCTCCGAATTGATTCAATATGAAGGTCATCCATTTTAGTCTCATGAGGTACCCACTCACTTGAAAACATTTTATTCCTATATCCAGCGACCCGACTTAACCCCCGAATATATTCTAACCTTCTGGTAATCAAGGCTGGGCTGATCCTCACTGGAGACCAGTATGAAAAAGGTGAGGACTGGAACCCTCCCAGTGAATGGTACAGGTGCCCCAGCACCCAGTGCCACAACAAGGAATGGCTCCCGCCCCAAGAACAGTATCAGGGCCCCAGTAACTGGTGCCACAACCCAAAACAGTCCCCTAATAGAGGTGATCAATGCCTGCGAGACCTGCAAAGTGAGGGTGATCAGCATCTTGGCTATCTCTGGCAGGAAAACAGATGACATCATGAGTATGGGGATCAGTGTCATAGCTCTAGAGTCCCATCTCTAGTTGGTAGGGACTAGGGTGTCAGAGAGCTTGGTTTCCAGGCTGGAGACCAAGGCTATATGCCAGGGTCCTAGGCCACAGCAAAGGGAAGATTTCTGCAGTCCAAGGACCCTCCACTGCCTTCAGTGGTCACCTAACCGGGTTGACTGTGAGCACGGGTGTCTTGGCAGGATGCACCATGCAGCCAATCAGTTTGTCTTTTGAACTACAGGCCTGTGATGGGCTGGGACCCCCACCAATCTCTAGGGTCATAGGTGGGTCCCTAAATGGGCTCTAGGGTCTGACAACAGTAGTCCTCCAAAAGCCTCTATAGCAGGCATGAGGCCTAATACAGGTCCTTTGCCTGAAGTTTCTTTCTTGCATGGTGCTGTTGGACCAGTTGACCTAGACCACATCTTCAGAACCAGTGAGGGAGAATGGTGCTGGGCAGATTTGTGTGCTAGTGTTACAAGCAGCAGGTATGGAGTCCAGATGTGAGGGTTGATGTTGGGTGCAGAGCAGCCTTCATGAGAAGGGCCCTAAATTGACTGTCACACTCTGAGTCCACTGACAAAAGTTATTGCGTATCCAGCTCTTGTCTCTTTAATGGTTTTAAAGTGTCTGGGGAAATGCTCATCAGTGACCCTCACAACTATGGCATCTTCCAGCTGTACTCAGAACACAGCTTGAAGCCTGGTAAACAGGGTATACTCCACTCCAGGACTAGCTACTAACCTACTAAAACACTTAACTAACTGGTCTCAAAGGGGTAGCCATGTTAGCCTGTAACTGAAAAAACTTCACCAATGGTCCTGTAGCACCTTAGAGACTAAAAAACCCCGTAGATGGTATCATTAGCTTTTGTGGGCACAACCCACTTCTTAAACCTTTCAGCTCATGATATCATCTACGTTTTGTTAGTCTCTAAGGTGCTGTAGAACCATTTGTTGTTTAAGTTTTTTCACTTAACTTATAATCACTCAAAAAAAGAATAAAGGAGAATGACATAAATAGTGAATAACTGCTAACGCTTTTGCAATGCAAGTCCAGGCTCCCCAAGCAATTGTCAAGAGGTAATAAGAAGGAATGGAGAGGGCATATGGTCAGGGCTTTTGATATACCCTCCACATGAGTGTGGCACTCCAGAGGGCACCACAACCGACCGTATACCGCTAAGATATAAATCTCCCACAACAGTGCTTGTTGGTGTGCACACACCTAGAATAAAATCAACATGAGTAAGCACTCGAAGAACAATATTCATTGTCTTTTCATCAATGACTGAAGACAATTTTCACACTGCTCCCAATTATAAACAAGAAATGTTATCCTGAATATGGGCATTACCTACAGCAGTACTTAGTTCCCAGGCCAGAGCAGCTGCTATTTATTGAACACCAATTATTCAGTATGCAGAGGAAGATGCTAGCTGTGGTCCAATGAGTGAACAAACTAACCAATGATCTAAACCAAAGATGCAGTGGGAATACTAGAAGATAATACAGAATCTCAGGGTATCATATTAAGGGTCTAACCAAATGTATGGTCCATATTGATCAATTTCACAGTCATAAGATTTTAACAATAGTCAATTTCATGATTTCAGATATTTACACTTGAAATTTCACATTTTGTAGCTGTAGGGAATCTGATCCTAAATGGTGATTGCAAGGCTACTGTAGAGAGATTATGGAATTGCCAAACTTACTTCTGCACTGCTGCTGAGAGGGGCATTACTTTCACAGTGGGGTAGCTGGAAAGCAGTGCCCACTGGCAAGATACCAAGCTCAAAAGCATGCAACACCAACAGCACAGAAGTGAGAGGCAGGGAGTTACTATATGTCCAGATCAGGGGCTTTACGCAACATGGGGAGGTTCCTGGAGGTGAGTCTGACCTGGGTCCAGGAGTGGCCTTCAGCCCAGGCTGGGGATAGCAGCTGGAGCTGGGTGCTTGGTAGTAATGTCCAGCTGGGGCATCCCAGATCGCCCCCATGAAAGTTGGTTATTGCAGGGGAGGGGCCAAATCAGATTTCACAGTCCATGATGAATTTTTCACAGCCATGAATTTGGTAGAACACGCTGAACCTCTAACATCCAATCCAGAACTCCAGTCTGGCAGCATCCAGACCACTGATATTGCTGGACCACAGAGCCCCAAGTGCATCCCCAGTCGGGATTTGCGCAGTGGGGGTGCAGCCCTGGCCAGGGCAAGAGACAGCAGGGCCAGCGTCCAGGAGCACAGCCAGGGCTGGTGCAGTGGAGTCTGGAAGCAGCGGGGACAGTGGCTGGGCATGTAGCCCGGGATGGTGCTGTGGGGGCGGAGGCGCAGCCCTGTTAAGAGCTGGCATGATGCAGGGTTGGAGGCAGAAGGGCAGGTGGCAGGGAGTGCAGCCCTGGCCGGGAGCAGAGCCTAAAGCCCGGTGGGGAGCCTTAACCTCCCCTGGTCCAGTAAACTCCATAGTTTGGGACCACTCAGGTCTCGAGGATGCCGGACCAGGTAAGTCCGACCTGTACCCTTATCGTATTGCTGAACGTCCATTTCCTATGAATGATCCAAGCAGTATAAAAATGATATAGTCACTAGATATATTCTGTGTTCACATAATTGTGTGAAATAACTAACTTATACATGTTATGTTTAATTAATATTTTAAAACTTATTTCTCTATGAAAGCCAAATAGTAGATGGTGGAAAAAAAAGAACTTACTGTGGAATCCCTCCGTAAATGTGTTAAGTTTACAAATTCTTGGCCCTTCTCTTGCAACAAATATTTGCATCTATAGTCACAAAAGATATTAATTACAAAAAGTACTGTACACATGGGAATATAAAGAAAGCTGAACACACAATTTTCAAGAAGATTTTGGTAATTTAGCATTTCAAAAGAATATTTCTGCTCTTGAAGTACTTTCTTTGAAAACGTAGCTGAAATCATAATGTCATTTAAACATTTTAAAAACATTCTGACAGTGAAAGGAAGGGAGCATCATCAACAATGCTTATTTCTCAGTGAGTCACAACAATTGGAAACACAAAACTTTACGTTCACTGGTTATGGCAGCCACCAATCACTGGTTTATAAAAGAAAAAAAAATGCTGCAAACAAGTAAAAAATCCAGCTCTTAAATATCAATTATTTTAATCTATTTTGTAATCAATGAACTATAGTCATGGATAAAGAGACATTTGCTTAACTATTACATCCCTCTTCTCAATATTTTCTATGCCAGTCCAAGCATTTGGGAACAGCGCCTCTCTACCAGCTGACTGAAGACACTACACTACAAATTCTTCGTAATGGTTTGCTGCCTCTAAAGAACTGAGCTGGCTTTACAAAAGTAGTTCATACACGAATGTCAGACATGCTTGAGTTTCAAAATCTCAAAGTTAAGAAAAATTTATTCACCTTGTGTAGTAACAATGGTTCTTCAAAATGTGATCCCCTATAGATGCTCCACTCTAGAAGTGCTTGAATCCTGATGCTGGTCATTGGAGAACTTTGGTACCAGTGTCCGTAAGCCCAGTGCATATATGGTCTCTCACTGTCCATGGGCTAATCTCCCTCATTTCCTTCTCTACTGCAGAGATATTGAGTATGTCTACACTAACACCCTCTTTTGAGAGAGGGATGCAAATGAAGACATTCGAAACTGCAAAGGAAGCGCAGGATTTAAATATCCCACACTTCATTTGCATAGTCGCGTTATGGTGCTACTTCGAAATAGCACTATTTCAAAATAACAGATGCTGTTAAGATGCAATTATTTCAAGAGAAAGCCCTTCTCTCAAAATAACCATGTCTTAACAGTTTCTGTTGTTTCAAAATAGCACTATTTCCAAGTAGCGCCATAACGCGAATATGCAAATGAAGCACAGGATATTTAAATCACGGCTTCGTTTGCAATTTCAAATGTCTTCATTTGCATTTCTCTCTTGAAAGTGGGTGCAAGTGTAGACATACCCACTGACAAGAACTCCAAAGTAGAGGGGAAAAGGGCAGGTTGTGGAACATCAATCAGGACAAATCTCTCAAAAAACCATCATTATCGAACAAGGTGAGTAATCTCCTTCTTCCAGTAGTGCCTCATGGGTGCACCACTGTAGGTGATTCCTGAACACTATCACTACTGATGGGTTGGATTTTGGAGTAGGTCAGTTATAGATGATAGTACTGTGGAGACCAAGAGGTCACTAGAGGCAGAGTCCCAAATGACTGCATAATGTTCTACAAAGATGTGGAGAGACACCCATGTCAGCACTCTAGAGATTTCCAAAATAGGGACATTATGAAAGAGGGCAATGGATGAGAAGATCAACCTTCCAGAGATTGTCTGAATAGTATCTGGAGGGATCATATTATAAACTTAATACCATGGTCTAATGTAGAGATGTGCATTGTTACCCAATAAACATCACCCTTACTGGGTTACGATTACCAGTTACGGTTAACCAGCAGCCTGACTGGGCAGGGGCAGCCTGCCACCTGCTACGGGCAGGGAGGGGGACTTTTCCAGCCCAGCCAGCCTGCCATGCCACACTGTGCAACGGGGGAAGGGACTCCAGCCTGGCTAGGATGGAGTGGCTGCCCTGCCTCAGTTTAAGTATTTAACCAGTTAAACATAATGTTTAACAAGTTACCTGACTCAACAGGATTTAACAGCCCATGTCTAATGCAGTGAATGGAGAATGGCCCTGGAATCCTCCAAGGTGTGAAGAGAGGCATCAGTATTCTCTGTGAAGTTCAACAGGATTTAACAGCCCATGTGTAATGCAGCGAATGGAGAATGGCCCTAGAATCCTTCAAGGTGTAAAGAGAGGCATCAGTATTCTCTGTGAAGAACTTAGTCTTTTGAAAGGGAAGGTCTTTAATGGCTGAACGTATCTCCTTCAGGAAGCCCAACAGATGGAGCTATGACACAAGTCACATCATCATAGCCTTGGATACGGACCTGGCCGCTGTGTAGAATGCAGACCGTAGTGCTGTTTGGCCACTGTCACTCTTTCTGTTGTATAAAGCCTCTGCCCGAGCTATTACTTGATTTACACATACATTTTCTGGAAATGCATTGAACTGTAAGCTCCCGTCAACACATGACTTAGAGAATGACAAAACCTGCTGCTGACTTCATTGCTATGAACACTATTTGAAGGGGGGCAGTTGTCTTCTAAGTCACTTTATTACGGACGATTTGTGGATGATTAACATGGAAATTGTTCTGAGTCAGTTGCTGTGCTTTGGAAGGTATCTTTATAACCATTGAGCTTTGAAGCGTTGTAATAGTAGCGTTGTAATAGTGTCTTTGTAACTTTCAGCTACCTTGCCTTTTACATTCTGCAACTTGTTATAAGAGTGTTGCACTTTGCAACTTTGTAATCTTTGCACTCTCAGCCACTTGCTTGTAACTTGCTCTAAGCTGCATTCCACCCTGTGATAACAATGTGTGTGTGAATGTAGACTGGATCATGTTTGGGGTGAAGGAAACAGCAAGGCTAAACACGTAGAGTCAGGTGGTGTCTAATTAAAGCAATCAAGGAGACAACACTGCTCCAAGCAAACAAAGGACCCAGATCGAGGGAGGTCTGGGCATGCTCCTTGGTGACGGAGGAAGGACCTTGCATGAGACACAAGAGCTGCCCAGTTCCAATAAAAGAACAGAGCACATGGAAGAAGCTCTCTTTTATGATCAGCTCACCAGCCGGGACCCATGATTGCAGGCAGACGCTCCGGACAGAATATGCCTTGGCACGCTCTGCAAGTGTGTGAGTGCCTGAGGGAATGAATAAATGTGTGTATGAATGAATGAATGGAGTGTGTGTGAGAGAGAGAGAGAGCGCGCTAGCTCCTTCCCCTAGAGTTTAACCCTTTAGTGGCATTCAATGACAGCTCAATTCCCTTTAGTTTAACCGTACAGTAGATTGTTAATTCCTCATTTAATAAATCCGTATGAGTGTAACCGTAAGGTGATCAACAGTGAAATTTGGGGTAACACTTTCCACCTCCTTAAATTGGTTGCAGTGAGACTCTGGCAGCTACTCAGTAAAATTGTTCCATTTCAAATAGCTTATGAAGTCTTATTTTGCCATTCAGGCTTGCTAAACTGGTGATTCAAACCCAAGTGCAGTCGAGAGTATGCCTCCCTCCCCCACAAAAAAGTCTAAGCACTTCCAGTCCCTATCATAGAGAATGGACCTCATTTGTTGTTGATGGCCACAGGAATTAACAGTGTCCTCCACAATGGAGTTGGGTAAAGGGTGGGAGAAGAGGAATTTAGTCTCCCAGATAGTGTGGGTGGTCTGGGTTGTTGACCACCCTCCTAAATCTAGTTATGCAAGGATTAGCTCCAAAAAGTAACCTATGTTACTGATGAATGCACCATGTCTATATCATTATGAAGAAATTTCCATATAACAGCCATAGAAGAGAACATTAAGCTCATGCGTCGTCTGTCACAACAGCAAGAAAATGTTCCCCCACATTATAGCTGGCTCTGGACTAGCCACAAGAGCGTAATGTAGCTGTGATGATCTTTACCAAAAGACATTTCTTCTAGGGACCTGCATTTCCAAAAGCCTGAATACAGATGCAAATCATTTCTCTGTCAACATATCACTGGTTGCTAGAAGGTCAATCAGCTCTTCTGTTAATCTCTTTGTCAATTCTGGTTACCCTGGCCACGTTTGTCAATCCTACACACAAATGAAGACGACTCTGGCTTTTATAGCACTGTGAGGGGTATCAGTCCTACACTGGCCTATAAAGGATAAATGGAGCCATAGAGAGGCTGCAGAGGAAGCAGTCAATAGCAGAGAGCAAGGAGCAGCACATGAGGACCTGGCAGGTCCCTACAAGAAGAGCTGCAGGGCAGAGCAGGTTTAGTTCTCCTCGGAGGTCAAAGAGAGAGGACTGGTTGCCTTGCAGGTGCAAGAAACCAGCACCCTGGACAAAAGTGCTTCTAACACAGGGTTTGGCAAATTAGGACTCTCAGGCTGCATCTAGCTCATTAGCTGTTTTAATCCAGCCCTTGAGCTCCCACTGGGAAACAGGGTTGGGGGCTTGCTCTGCTCCATGAATTCTATGGCTCCACGTGACTTCTGGGAGCAGCAGCCAGGTCACCCCCGCTCTTCAGATCCTACACATAGGGGCAGCCAGGTGGCTCCATGCATTCCCCTCTCCCCTCCCCCCCCCCCCCCGCCCGCCCCAGCACCACCCCAGTAGCTCCCAATGGCTGGGAACCATGGGCCAATGGGAGCTTCCAGGGTGGTGTATATGAATGGGGGAAGGAGGAAGCAATGCCTTGAGTTGCCTGGCTGTGCCTCCATATAGGCACCAGCCAGATGGGAGACATACCACAATTTCTAGGATCTTCTTGAGGAGCTATGTGCAGCCCAGAGCCTGCACCCCAAGTCCTCCTAGTGCCTCAACCTCCTGCCAAGCTCTGATTCTCTCCCCTCCCCCCTCCTCCGAATTGTTCGGTCCCAGCCGAAAGCACCCTCCTGCACCCCAAAACCTTAACACCCAGCCTAACCCAGAATCCCCCAACCTCTCTCCAATCCCCTCTCTCTCACACCCAAACCTCCACTCCAATTCCTTGTCCCAGTTCACACAGGAGCCCTCCCACCTCCCTAAGCCCTCAGTCCCAACAGGTATTGAACTCTTGAGGTCCCTTCCATTTCTGGGATTCTATGATGGGCTCATTCACTGAAAAACCAGAGTGGTCTTTCTCCAATTAAATCCAGGAGATTAGGGGCAAGCGTGTTATAATTGCTTGAAGGAAGCAGTTGCATTTAGACGCATGTGTTCTCTCTCTCAGATATAGAAGGATTTACCCTTTCTGAAGGCTCCTCTCTTGATAAACTATGACCTGTGACAGAGTCAGGCTAGAGGACTACTGCAGATAGAGAGAAAAGCAGCAACAACCCTGAGCAATTAGGGGCAAAGGAGACAATGCTTCTGCAAATTGAGCAGAGCCACCTGATCTCACCTGAGGCTGCCACAGAACCTGTTAAAAGGACGCCCTCCTGGCAGGAAGTGGGGAGGAGAGTGAGAGAACAGCAGAGCAGAGCGGACCGGACCGGACCGGGCCAAACCAAACCAGAGAAAGCAACAACAGAGCAGAGCAGACCGGACTGGACCAGACCGGGCCAAACCAAACCAGAGAAAGCAACACAGCATTGCCAGAGATAGCTAAGTGGTGGAGGGTGAGGTGCCTCAGACAAGGGTCATTAGGCCCTCCTTCGGCTGGCAGCCTGAGAGCCCAGCTGAAGAGCTGGACAGGACTTTTTTCGCAGCCCAGGCTGACCCTGGGGCAGTGGCTCAAAACCTTTGTGGCTGAGAGACTGGAGCAGGAATCCTGCCAAGAGCAAATAGTGCAGGATTGACGCTGTTTGAGGTAGGTCTGAGCGGGGTATCAGGACCCAGGAGTGGGGCCACCCTTCTATGGACCATTTCCCCAGCAATATGATCTGAGTTCTGTAAATCTATTCCTGGGAACAAAGACAGAAACTACAGCCAAGATAATTTAGGATAAGGATGCCTGAAGTTCTTTCCATTTGCAAAACGGTTCAATTTCATGGTGCTCTAGTCTGATGAGCCGTCCCCATTTGGAAGAAAAGGCTGAGACACTCAGATGTCTGGTAGGCTGACCATTACTGCAACCTTAGTGCCTTTCTGGATGCTACTGAGGCTGTTGTAGATCTTAAGTAGCATCACACAAGTGGCGGGATCAAAACTAGACAAGCTTACATCTGTATCGCTCTTATCTTTTTGTTTTTTTAAACTCACCCAGTCCTTTAATTCTCTGTGAAAAAAAGAATAAGAAACACACCGAAGGAGTCCACTTGTAGTATGAAATTCTGATGACATGAGCATATTTCCTAGAATTTGTGAATGACAAGCAACGTAAAGTCAGTTTCACAAACAAAAGCAGCTGTGTGGACCACCCTACATCAGCAAGAGACACTTCTCCCTTGACACAGCGACTGCTGCTTCCCAATGGCGGTTTAATTATGTTGGTGGAAGAGCTCTCTTCCTCCGGAATACAGCAGTTACACAAGAAACCTTACAGCAGCACAGCTGCATCAGTACAGCTGTGCCTCTATTAAAATTCAGAGCACCGACATAGCCTGAGACACCACATGCTCCTTCAGAAGTTAAAAAAAATTTCTTCTGCTGCTCTGTTTTGTGTACACCACTTTTTCCTTTGATCAGATCTCTCTCCTCAGTCAGAACGAGCAAGACACTCATAATGGAAATAAAAACAAGTAAACTCTGGAAGCCAGCAAATAGGAGATCCCATCAATGTCTCAATGAACAGTGGTCTATTTGCCAGCAGGAAGAACTATCCCAAACACAAACAGGGAAAACGAGAGACACACATACATTTTATAACACTTGTATTACATAACTAATGATTTTAAGTACCCAATTTAAGACATTTTAAGAGGGCTTTGTTTCCAGAAAGAAAAAATATCAAATGTGCTCTCTGAAAAAAATAGGTTCCTTTAAAGTGTCATCATGTTGGCCACCAAAAACTAGGGCCACCCAAAATTGCTATGCACTTTTGAAAATTTAGGCTTTTAAGAGTAACTGTGTTGCATAACAAGCAGCTTCAGTCTTCTCAAGACTTGTACATTATAGCTCACTCCCAATATAATATCACAGCTGCACATAATGCTTACGTGCATGAGCAAAGACTCTTTGCAGATGCAACATACTGTAAATGGAAGCATGCACAACAAGAAAACACAATACAAAGTACTTTACCCTGGAAACCATTTAGCATGTTGCTCCCAAGGGTCTTCATCCTGTTGCCACTCTTGCAGTCCTCCACCACAGTGAAAGCACACAACATTATCACCATTACCTAAGGGGGCATATAAGTGTGATGTTACATACTTGTAAAATACAGGGTTGAACATGCAAATATTTGTTCTTACAACTGAGGGGAAAAAAAGCTTCAGCAAGTCTTGTTAGTGACAAAAGCACCAAAAATGTGTCAATTTAATAATGAGCAGCTAAGAATAAAAAGGATTATTTTAAACTAGATGTCAGTGTAATCTGTGATAACAAATGTTAAGGAAAACAAAGTAGTTTCTTCGACTATTTTTCACTTTAATAAAAATATAGAAAATCAAGTTTCCACGTACGCACTGCTTTACTCAATTTTATTCGGCCATATGCCGGGGGTGGGCAAAAGGGCCTCCGCGGGCTGGATCTGACCTGCGGAGGCCCTGCTGCTCCCCTGCCCCCAGGCCAATTAGGGAAGCGCACAATGTCTCCTCCTACCCTGCTAGGAACGTACAGCGCTTCTAAGTGCCGTGTGCTCCTAGCAGGGCAGGAGGAGACTTCGCCTGATTGGCCTGAAGGTGGGGGGAGCATATGAAGTTTCACCTGCCCTGTGAGGAGTGTGCGGCACTTAGAAGCACTACACGCTCCTGGCAGGGCAGAAGGAGACTTTGTGTGCTCTCCCTGCCCCGAGGCTTAGGGATATGGGAGCATGGGAATTCTCCTCCCATCACCAGAGGCATGGGTGCCTAGAGGGAATAGGAGGGGGGCAAACGGGCTCCCCCACGCCCAGACCAATCAATTATTGCCCACCCTGCCGTATACGGATATCAGAAATACTTCTATTTGCTTGCAATTCTATCACCATAAATTCTTGTTAAGTAGGCTATAAAAACCACTACCAAAGATTCTAAGGAAAAAGCATTTGACACAGTTTCTTCAATGTTCTTGATCAGTCTTCTCTGTGTATCAGTTCCCCTTAAACAAGAATGGAATTAACTAACAGAAACCTAATTCACAAGGATATTTATTTGCATTTTTGGTCGTTGGTTTCACCAGTCAAGACTAACCGACTCTGAACAGCAGTGTTGTCACAGACTAAGAGGATGTGAAAAGAAATAAAATTCTCTGAGCTCTAGGAGCACAGTGCACATTACAATCAAAGGCAAAATCAGAACCTGCCTACATATTAAATGTATTGCTATGAGAGGACATATGGATAGATTTCTTCCACTGCAATGAATCCATCTCAGCCAACAGGAAAGCCACAGCATTCCATTCTTTTTAATATGATAAATAATGACTGACGTAATTAAAAAGTTAAGAACCAAAATCTGAGCTGGCATATATCCTAAAATGGGCTTAAAAGACAAAAGGTCACTATTAAGATATTCCTGTTATTTAATATTTGGCTGCTACAAAGGAGAATATGATATAATAATAAACAGGAGAACGTATTGTATTAGCCTTCACTAATTTGAGTTAAATAAATGTAGAATTAAAAAGCATTAAAGACACAGGGTCCTTAACCACGTAAAGCCTTAAAAAAATATTTGTTTGTGATTTCTGTTCAAAATCACGTTATGCACAAATTCTGCTTCAACAGACAGATGTGAAAATCCCATCTAGCTTACCTGTACTATAGAAGCCAGCTTCAGCAAGTTGCTCTTTAGCAACTGGGTATCTCCAAGTAATGAATGTCTTGATCCGTGCTTCATATTCTGCCATAGATGGATTTCTTGGGTGATCTACATCATTTAAGACACTTCTGCCAGCCTCAGCAGAGTTAGATTCAGTTAGGACACTTTCAATATTTCCAAAATCACGCCCCAGTACAAAAAAGCACCTAGGAAAATGTCTCTTATGTTCTGACCAAGCTCGATCAAAAGGTTCCCAGTTTTTCAGTTTTCCACCACAACAAAAACACTCCACTTGATCATCAACACCTGTGTAATACAGTCCAGCAGTAGCTAACTCCTTCGGTGTTAATGGAGCATAACTTGGCCAGTTGTGAAAAGACCTTAACCTAGCTTCTTCACTGCTCATAGCAGGGTTCCTGGGGTACATGCTGTCCGACATGTCTACAACTTGCCCAGTTCTTAAAAGGTAATCTGTACTGAGATCAGACGATCTATCAAAAGAACACTGGACGGTTGAATTTCCAGAACAATTTTCAACTCTGCATTGACAGTTGTGGAGAATAGGATGCATACCTTTTTTTAAAAAATGAAATCGATTAATAAATTTACAGTTTGGGGAAATTGTCCTATGTTTTCCAACTGCTGAATCTCCATGCTCCCATCCTTCAATAGTTGCATGACAGCTGAAGCACTTCACTTTGTCTCCCTCTCCTGTATAAAAGAAGCCAGCTCGTGCTAGTGTTGATGATGAAATAGGACAACAGTTTGGAAAGTTGACAAAAGTCTTCAGTCTGGAATACTCGTCAGCCATTTCTTGGTCGTGGTCACAGTCTGGAGTAGCACAAGCTTCGGAATCATCTGGTCCGTTAGACGTCATTTCTTCTTCAAGAATGGGGCTCTCAAGATTTCCTAAACAAAATAAGCTTTTAAATTTCACAAACAAAAAAACGATCAATCCAACATACTCCTTATTCAACCACTATGCAAAATGTGGGAAATAGTGTGCTCAAAATATTCATTCTATTAATTAAGTAGTAAGGAAGATAAGACTATTTTTCTTTCTCTGTTAATAACATTGTCAAGCACAGGAACATTCCAAAAGAAATTATATTAAGACAGACAAGAAGCACTGTTGTGTATGAAGTTTTCTACTAGCACATAAGTTACATATCTTTCTTAATTGTCATCTGGATAAATAGTAAAAAGTTTAGAAAGAACCCCACACTTCTTAGTTTCATAATATTTGCCTTATTAACAAGTCAAATTTAAAAAAAAAAACACAGGAATTTAAGGATCCATGTTTAAAATCAGCCTAATATGTTACTCTTGTACAAGCAAATTTGCCTCTCTTTTTAATTAAAAAAGTACCCATCGCATCAGCTCCTGACTGCATACCATAAATAAATGTAAAATAAACTGGTAAATGTCAAAACAACAAGGGAAGGTTACTCACCTGTGTAGTAACTGGAGTTCTTGGAGACGGTTGTCCCCATGGGTGCTTCACCTTAGGTAGTTCAGCACCGCTGAGCCCAAGGATGGAGATTTTGACAGCAGTACCGCTTGCTGGGCACATGCGCAGGGAGCCGGTCAGTGTGTTCTGAGGAGGCTACTGTGCATGCGCAGCTGCTGTCCCTCCCACCCAGTTCCTTCTCTGACCCGGACATGTGGTATTCTAAAGCAGAGGGAAGGATAGTGGGTGGTGGAGCACCCACGGGGACAACCATCTCGAAGAACTCCAGTTACTACACAAGTGAGTACCCTTCCCTTCTTTGAGGAGTGTCCCCGTGGGTGCCCCACCTTAGGTGATTATGAAGCAGTGGTGGTGAGGTGAGAGCTTCGAATCAGGAGGTGAGAGCTTCGAATGCTGAGACTGTGAGGCCGAGAGTATTGTGATACCAAATGTCTGTCTCAGCGAATGTCTGCAATGCATAATGTCATGTGAAGGTATGTGCTGACGCCCAAGTTGCAGCCCTACAGATGTGATCTGTTGGGACACCCTGCAGAAATGCTGTTGTGGCTGCCATAGCCTGCATCAAGTGGGTTTGTATATTTACTGGTAGCTTTCTGGGCTATGGCATGTCCTAGTTTGATGCAACAAGAAATCCATTTTGAAAGTCTTTGTTTTGATACAGGCAACCCCTGTGACCTCTCTGTCGATGAGACTAATGGCTGTGGTGTTTTCCTAAAGAGCTTCGTCCGCTGTAAGTAGAATGCTAGTGCTCTGTGGACGTCTAAGATATGGAGAGCTGCATCTTCACTGTCCTCGTGTGGTTTAGGGAAGAAAACAAGTAAGTAAATGGGCTCGTTGCAGTGGAACCCGGTAGGTACTTTAGGTAGGAATTTGGGATGAGTCCTAAGTGTGACTTTATCCTTGTGAAATATGGTGTATGGCGGATCTGTCATTAGTGTTGCTATTTCACCCACACGCCTTGCGGAGGTAACTGCCACCAGAAACGCTACTTTCATAGACAGATGTAGGAGTGAGCAAGTGGCAAGAGGCTCAAATGGTTAACCCATGAACACCTTCAGTACCTTCAATACCAAGTTTAGGTCCCATGCTGGGTTTGGATTCCTGTATGGGGGAAATAGGTTGTGTAAACCCTGCATAAATCACTTGACTGATGGGTGTGCGAAGACTGAGTGCCCTTGTATGGGTGCGTGTAAGGCGGAAAGGGATGCAAGGTGTACCTTAATGGTCCGTGTTGCGTAGTTCTAGCAAATATTGAAGGATGGGAAGATACGTCTGTGTGGGGTGGGTCATGGCCATGGGCTGTACATCCAGGCAGTGAAGCTCTTCTATTTTTGAGCGTATGCTTTTCTTGTTGCAGGTCACCTAGAATCTGTGAGGATGAGTTGTACTGGCTCTGGAGAGGCATCCATGCCCGGAGGTGTAACTTGTGAATGCCTGGATGGGGAATTTGAACGCTTTGTTGCATCAGTGTGCTGACTGGTGGAAATTGGTGTGGTGGCTGTACACTCATCTGTAACAGGTACAGGTACCACATGTGCCTGGGCCAGTTGAGTGTTATAAGTATCACTCTGGCCCTGTCCTGTCTGATCTTGAGGATCACGCTCTGTATCAATGGGAAAGACGGGAACACATATGACAAGTGTTCATTCCATTCTATACTGAAGGCATCCCACAGAGAGCCAGGGCCTATGCCCGCTCTGGAGCTGTACTGTGGACATTGGGCATTGTTGTGTGTTGCAAATAGGTCCACCCTTGGGAAACCCCACTTCCTGAAGAGGTGAGTGAGCACTGATTGATTTAATCTCCCACTCGTGGTTTTGGGGAAATTGCCTGTTTAGCCTGTCTGCCAATGTATTGTCTTTGCCTGGTAGATAGGCTGCAACCAGGCGTATGTTCTGTGGGATACACCATTCCCAGAGACATAATGCCTCCTGGCACAGTTGGCCTGAGCATGCTCCTCCCTGTATGTTGATGTAATACATCGTCAAGATGTTGTCCATGAATATCTGCACGGTTTTGTCCCAAGTGAGAGGAAAAAAAGTGCGAACACGCGTTCCTTACTGCCCTTAGCTCCAGTAAGTTTATGAGGCACCTGGTCTCATCCTGTGTCCATTGGCCAGGACGAACTCGTAGTGTAGGTGCGCTCCCCAACCTAGGAGGGAGGCATCTGTAGTGATCGTTATTGACACACACTGTCGTGCATCGTCCACCATGTGAGGGAGGCTTTTATTTTGTTGGACATAGTAAAGTTCTTGCTCAAGGGATGGAGGTGAGGCTGGTAGACTGTGTGTAGCCACGTCTGCAATAGACTCATTCGTAGTCGAGCATGTTGCACTATGACTGTGGCAGCTGCCATGTGTCCCAATATTTGAGGGCAAGATCATGCTGTCATACATGGGCATGACTATGCTGTCTCGATCAAGTGCTTGAGTGAAAGCCATCTGTGCTGGGGTAAGTATGCTCTGGTTTTTGTGCAGTCTATATACGCCCCTATGAACTCTAGGGTCTGGGTAAGGGGGGGAAGATGCACTTTGCCACATTTAACATCAGCCCTAACTTGTCAAAGAGGGCTCTGGTTGTGCTGACTGCTTGCGGTGTGCCCGTTAGGAGGCAATTGTCTAGATAAGGGAATATTGTAATACGGTTTTTGCATAAGTGAGCCACCACTACTGCGAGAACTTCTGAAAAAACCCTTGGGGCCATTGACAGTCCAAACAGCAGTACCCTGTACTGGAAGTGTCTGTGCTTTATTGTGAAATGAAGAAATCTTCAGTGTGATGGATGAATGGAAATATGGAAATAAGCATCTTGGAGGTCAAGGGTAGACAGCCATGCTCCTTTTTCCAGGGCAGGTATAATCATAGCCAGTGTTACCATCCTGAAACGTTGGTATTGGACAAATTGGTTGAGTTTACGGAGATCCAAGATGGGTCTCCATCTCCCTGACTTCCTGGTGGTAAGGAAATAATGGGAGTAGAAGCCCTTGCCCCGTGTTGTTTGGGAACCTCTTTTATAGCCCCTGTGGCTGTGAGGCATTCTGCCTCTTGTAAGAGTAGGTTCTCGTGAGAGGGGTCCCTGGAATGGGTGGGGAGGTAGAGGGGGGATAGATATGAAGAGAATGCAGTAACCAGTTTTTATAATTTCTAACACCCCTTTGTCGGTGGTGATGGCTGACCAGGATGGATAGAAGTCAGCTAGTCTGTTGCCGAATACTGGAGATGGCTCTGTATGGTACCTTGGAAATTTGAGTGATGTCAGGCCTTTGTCCAAGATTTAAAATTTGTTTTCTAGATGTCGTGGGTTGTTGGGTGGAGGAGAACTGCTCAGATGTCTTTCTGCGCCTATTTTGATATCTGCCTGTATTAATCGCAGTGTCGTTGCTGTTGAATGAACGGTGTCAGTCTGCATCATTGTTGGAATGACCTGATCTGTTTTCTCCTTTTCACAGTACCTGGATCCCTAGCATTCTGAGCATGGCCCTGGAGTCCTTGAGAGTGTGTAGGGATGTATTCATGACATTCGCGAATAATTTTGTGCCCTTGAAAGGGAGACCATGGTGCTTTGGACCTTTCTGGGGAAAGCTGACAGCTGCAGCCAGGAAGCCCTCCTCATCACCATAGCTGAAGCTAAGGATCTGGCTGCTGTGTCCACCAAATCTAGCATGGCTTGTAAAGCTGTGCACGCTATTAGTGTACCCTCTTTGATGTTTGCTGTGAATTGTTCTGCTTTGATGTCTGGAACAGATTCAATAAAGGATGACATTTGGTCAAAAATAGACAGATGGTGTATGTGTGTGTATATACATATAAATAAAAAAATCTAGCTAGCAATGCTGTACAGTTCGCTATTCTGATCTGGAGGCTTGCGGATGAGTACGCCTTTTTTCCTATAGCATCCAGCCTCTTCCAGTCCCTGTCACTGGAGGCTGTGCAGGTATTCTGTTGCCTGCCCTTCTGAGTAACCGCTTCTACCACCAGAGAATTCAGTGTGTGGTGGGAGAACAGGAATTCTGCCCCCTTACATAGTACTTTTTGTCAGCTCTCTTGTGGGTTGGAGAGATTGTGGCTGGGGTGCTCCACACAATCTTGGCTGGATCCATCAGTGCCTCTTTCACTGGTATGGCTAATTTAGAGTGAAGATGATTGTAAAATATTTATGAATTTATATTGGGTCTGAGGGGCATCTGAGAGTGGGATCTCCAAGGCCCTTCATCTCTCTCGAAGAGTTCCTGCAATGATCTGTTATCTCATCGTCAGGTGCAGCGGTCATCTTCTGCGTGAGTGGAGAGGAGGGTGGACTGTTTTCTTCCCCGTACTATGTCCCTCCTGCTCGTCTGAGTCCGAGTTGTAATGTGCTCCGGATTTCATGGTTAGTGTCATCGACCATGGTGTCACAGGTTGGTATGGTGGCTGCATAAGTTGCTGCTGCCTGTATAAAG